GATTCTTGTGTGATATCTACAGGCCCTATCTGGTCCCATTTCACTTTGATTACCCTGTCAAACAAGTCAGCCTTCGCCCCTGAGCATGACATTGATAAATCAGCCTATTTACAATTCTACAGTTCATAAGAACAAGTTCATGTCAGCCCTTCGGGAATGGCCTAAAGACACTTCAACAGTCAGTGGCACTGCCCCAGGGGAGTACAAAAATACAGTTTTTCGTTTCGTTTTAGTTACAGTTTTACACCATTTGCAACACGGTTAGGTCATAGAAGTGCCGGAGATTAGAGGCGTCACCAGAGAGTAACAACACACAACGAATGAGGAGAGGTGAGGACGATAGATGTTTGATAAGACAGAAGAAGCAAACCACACCAGAGCACCCGTCAACCACTCACTTCCACAGTCCAGCCTGATGTCCACTAAGCTCACACAGCGCTGGAATCTATTATATATATTTTGCAACTTGGAAACACATGTGTCACTTATCCCATAAAACTAAAAAAGATAGATAGGTCCCCACGACAGAGCCCGATTTTTGACTTATTCATTTCCTGAATTTAAAAAGACATATTTGACAAAAAGTTCCCCTCCTTCTTTGGCCTTTGTGATCATTCCACTGAGAAACGAAACAAATCTGCGTAGCTATCCTCCACAGTGGAAGTGCCGGAAGTGATATTTCGCGAGGCGCATTTTGTTTTGAGAGTGCTGTATAGATCCAGACCTTCTAATTTTTTAGCATCTCAAGATTTAATGCTCCATTCCAGTAGAGTGTAAATATAGTAGGCCATTGACTTTCAGTTGATGTTAATAAATACAGCAGGCCAATGACTTTCCCTTGATGTTAATTATACACCGATCATTCCTTTCGAGGAAAGGGGGCCGAGCTAGTACTACATACGATGTACTCACCTTGAGAAGGAGACGCAATATCCGAGAGAGAATTCTTTGAGTCTTCGTCACTTTGTCGAGAGGCGGAGGACGATGAAGACTCCGATGATGTCAACGACTCCGACCCCGAGGGGGGTAGATGATAGCGACTACGAGGGTTGTTGTTCTCGCTAGAGTGGCTGGTAGAAGACGACGAGGAGGAGGAGGAGGAGGAAGGCGCGGTGAGGAAGTCTCTAATCCTCCGCCCTGTTGGAAAGGACAAGGGCTTGTCGTTGAGAGCAGCAGCTGTGCTGGAGGTGGTGGTGACGTTAGATGATGGTGCAGCGGTGGCTAGGAAGGAGGAGGAGGAGGAGGCGGCGAGACAAGAGAGCAGGAGAACGCAGGTGCAGCAGCAACGGGCCAGAATCAACAGACAGGGGGTGCTCATCCTCTGGACCGGAACTCCTCATGAGTGTCGGTCTGGCCTGGCAGCTGTGACAGTTGTGGCAGTGACAGTGACAGTGGGTATGGCAGTGGCAGTGACAGTGGGTATGGCAGTGACAGTAGTAGTGACAGTGGCAATGGCAGCAGCCTGTGCGCACGCCCACACGACCAGGGCGACATACGCTTTCCCCACCACATGCACAGAGGCGAGGAGGAGGGGCAGGGAGCCAGAGCCCTCTAGTGACGCCTCTACGGGCCGGGAGGGAGGGGGGAGGAGGGAGGGCGGAGGGAGAGGGGCTCGAGCTCTTTACGGTTGCCAATCCACGCAGACTGGTCTGTCACTGTAGCAAATATCTCCAATAGACGGTCACCGAGTCAGTTCACAGCCGCAAAGGATCACGGGCAGGTTGCTGTGAGGCCAAGCGACAACTGAGACCTACAGCCGACGTCAGAACGCAACTTCCACAAATCCCACCTGGAGCAAAAGACAACCGCGGAACCCTTACAGGGATTATTTCAGCGCCGACATTTGATCCTCCCGAACAGTTTATCCTAAATCTGTCAACGTCAACAAGTAGATCAAGTGTAGGAAGGGGAGGTGATAAACACGACACACTGATCTCCGTGGCACACTCTACACCAAAACCACGATGACAGCGGCGAGGTCACGTCTTTGCCAGATCTTTACAAGTCTCGCAGACGACAAAAACGGTGTGAGATATCCCTCCACAGGTCAATCAGCACCTGGATTAAGCCGACAGTCAGCAGTTCAAGAACACCTTGACTTCTAATTAGCACCGGTGTGACTTCCAGCGACTCCCGGGCACCGACTTCTCGGCGTGGCAGACAGCGTCTACGTCAGCAACTGGCCACTGTTCCTGATTGGATGACCACGGCGACTGGACAATGGGAGTCCTGGATCAGAAGCGAAGAGCTGGCCGTGTCTGTGCCGCTGTTGTCATCTCTCATCTTCTCGGTCACAATTCTCCAAGGTCTGCCACACTGGAGAGAGGACAGAGAAAAGAGAAAAATAAAACAACAACTCGATTCTTGATCCCACTTACGGAAATGAGTGTGTGTTGTGTATGTGTGTGTGTGTGTGTGTGTGTGTGTTGTGTGTGTGTGT